GGCTCTTGCTGATACAGAGACCGTACCATATGGAAAAGCATGAACAGCAACACTGCTAAACCCAAACCTCATTCAAAAGTGTTGCACTCTGAAGGCGGGTGAAGGAGTTTTATGAGCACCTTAAGTAATTTTTTCCTTATAGCCTCCCTTTTACGTAGGTACAAACCTTTTCTTCCCGTAGTGGTACATAATATAATGTGTATCTTATTGATGGTATGTACCATGCAATGAAATATGGAGTTTCATAATGGCTTTTTTCTCTGAGTATATTATGAATATCTTTTCACATCAAAACATTTCATGTTTCTCATAATATATAATTTTATTGCATTGTTATATTATTTAACATGATTTATTTAACCAATTCCCTACTACTGGATATGTGTGTTCTTCTCCTTTCCACATTGTAACCAAGGCTGACACACATGGTTGTGTTGTTGCTTGCAACTTGTCCAGTTGCTTCTTTAAGATAAATTCCTAGAAGTGTAATTTGTGGATCCCACCGTGTCTGCATTTTAAAAACATGCTGCACGTTTCTTTCGGTAAAGTCATACCTCTCCACTATCTCCAGCGGTAGTTGGACACTGGCTGCCACACCCAGGGCCCACTCTGTGTTTTCTGTCTTTGTTATCTGTCAGTCTCCTGCAATACTTACCTCTTCTGTTCTACTCCCGAGGATCTTGTTTCAGTGTGAATTTCTTTGATTATTAGTGAGGTTGACTATCTTAAAAGTATGCTGTTGGCCATTTGTACTCCTTTTTAATAAACCGCGTATGTGTGTTCATTGTACTGTCTTTCTTTATTGAGTTGTCTTTTTTCTCATATGTATTATAATATTTCCCCAGGTTTTGGATTGCCTTTTCATTTTGGCTTAACTACTTTTTAATTAACACGTTGTCATGTCACATCCAGACAAAAGACAAAACAGACTGGGTGACAGCTCAGAGGGAGCTGCCAGATGGCCACCAGTGCCCCCTCAGGGGAGGCAGGCAGGTTGGGTAGTGGCCACCCAGGGGCGGGGCTGCCAGGCCTGCTCTGGGTCTGAGCTCCTGGGTGTGTCAGCATCCCATCTGGGTAACTGGCAGTCCCATTGTGCTGAATTCATAAGTCTGAGGCTCCCAACCTGGCGAGGACTCTGCACCATGGCCTTGCTTCATGTAATCCAGGCCCATAGGGTGGAAGTGCTTCGTACATCTGAGCGCGTCCACTCCTGCATACAGTTGGGAAACACGTTCTCAGTAAGAAACAGAAGAACAAAACCACGGCCACGGGCCAGGCTTTCCAGGAGGCCCCCGATGAAGCTTGAATCCGATGAGCTGGCATTCTTTTGACCCTGCTGTTGATCACCAGAGTCCTTTCCCTTATAAGGGGAATTCTCTCTCTGTACCTCAGGGCATCTAAGCCTCCACACCGGATGTTTTATTAGAAAGCAGTGAACAAGCAATAAGCCCCTTGACAGGACAGTTCTTTGTTGCTGAGAAATCGCTTTCGGCTACCTGTCTAAATCACTGGGGTAAACATCAGGAAACCTTTGAAAGGGGCCAAGAGAGGCCGGGGCACCTTGAACCGCAGCACCTACTCCCTCATCAACAAAGTCAGACACTGGTCATTTCATTCAATACAGCCGACTTCGAAGGAAGCTCTGCTCCGTTTCTCAAAATGGGTGATATTCTTGTATTTTGAGATGTCTACTTTCAATAAAACAAAGTCGTGATATTTGTCAGGGGAAAGTAAGGGAAAGGAGGCTGGCATTTATGAAAGACCCACCGCGCTCCACACCCTGTGCTCAGCATTTTCCAACGTGCAGACTCAGTCGTGGTGAGCGGCGTATACGGCTGAGACCTGCATTTAATTAATAAGAGACTATTATAAACATCATATAGGATGTCAGAAGCAATTAGAAAAGATGTTCTCCTTAAGGCCTCGTGCTTCAAAGGAGAAAGAAAAATTAAAGACACTGAAAATGGTGCAACTTTTCCTAATCATTCAAATCAAATCATACTTTTGCTTCCTTTATCTACACACACACGCACACTCACCACACAAACACACACCCAGAGTCATGCGTTGCTTCCTGATGGGGCTATGTTCTGAGAAAAGAGAAGTGAGGCAATTTCACTATTGTGTGAACATCATAGAGTGCACTTAACACACACCGAAATGGTACCGTCTACCACACGCCCAGGCTGTATGGTGTAGCCTATTGCTGCTGGGCTACAAACCAGTACAGCATGTAATTTTTTTGAATACTGTAGGCAATTGCAATGCCGTGGTAAGTATTTATGTGTCTAAACATAGAAAAGCTATGGTAAAAATATGGCAGTATCTTATGGGACCACCATTGTATATCCAGCCCGTTGTTGACTGCAGTGTGGTTGTGTGGTGCAACATTGTATTGTATATAGCATGAGGGTCTTATGGAGTGAAGTCAAATATGTTATATGCATATGTTTATAATATATATTTAATATAAAATATGTTATATAGGCTGTATTTACATATATATAGTACATATATATTTGACTCTATTTCATGAGACCCAAATGCTCTGCTTCATTTTGCTGGATCTAGCCCTTCAAGATAGTGTGGAGGATGGCAAAATTTTGGAAGGGAAGGATGCTTCTAATTAAAGCTCCTTTTTAATTTCTTACCAGGGCAAAGCAGAAAGAGTGTCACTGGAACAGAAACCATCTCTGCTCTTGGAGAGGTGGCACAAAGCTACAGTATCACCACAAGCTCTGCCCTGGGCCAGCCCACATCGATGCTGGCGGCAACACGGCCCCGGCACTGACCAATGAGACCGAGGCCGGTGTTGTGGGTGGGAGTGGGTCAGGGTGCTGGGCACCCCTGCTGGGCCCCTCACTGACCCTTTTGTTATATCAGGGGTAGGCCTGGGTTGAGGTGAGGTGGGGGAACAATTGAGAGCTTTGGGACACAAAGCTGTTTAATAACTAGCACAGAAGTACTTCAAATTTCTAACAACCTGTGTGTCTGTACCAGGGAATACCGGGCAGTCGTCAGCCCTACTGGCAAAGCTCCTGACCAGAGTGGCTTCTGGGTTTTAGAGAAGGACAAAGGAGGGTTCATTTGAACAGATGCTGTAAGAAGCAAGCTCCTAGATGGAGTTTCTGGTGGACTTCTTAGCTCAAAGATCAGTCTGTCTCTCTCTTTCCTGGACATGGATCCCTTTTGTTTCTGCGGCTTGTTTGACTCTTATGTTACGCATATTTTCTTCTCAAATTGTATGGTCAACCTTAACTAGATTGTACCCCGGTATTAGTTATCTATTATTGCATAACAAGTTTCACCAAAACATAACAACTTAAAGCAAGAAGCATCTATTATCTAATATACTTATTGAGAGCAGCTTAGCTGGGTGGGCCTGGCTAAGGGCATCCAGGTTATCAGCCAAGGTTGTGGGTATCTGAAGGCTCACCTGGGGCCAGAGACTCTGCCTCCAAGCTCACTCTTGTGTGTGGCTCCAAGTTCACTCTTGTGTGTGTGGGGAGATCTCAGTTCCTCCCTATCCCCTACCATGTGGTCCCTTCCCCAGGGCATTGTAGCACTGGCTTCCATGAGTGAGTAGCCAAGAGGGCAGGACAGAAGTTGCACCGCCTCTGATAATCCAGACTTTAGAGTGGCACATCGGCACTCCTGTCCTACTCTATTGAGCACCCAGACCAACCCTTGTATAATGCGGGAGGGGAGCACACAAGGCTGTGAACATCAGGAGTGGGCGTTTTTGAGGGTCACCTTGGAGGGTAGCTACCAAAACCCTACTTGGAGGGACAGTTCATGCTACACATCTTTTTGTGACCAATACTTGGCAAAGGTCTGGTTAGGTAGAAGGTACACGATGAAGTTGGTTGATTTTAAAAAGTTGCTGGGCATCAAATGTAAACTGGAATTAAACAAAAAATACTCCTGAAGATGAGACACACAAAAGATACCACCGTGACTCTCGACTGATTGGCTACACATTCTTCCATTCTTCAGCAAACGTTTACTGGCCGTGGTATACTCAGATGACTTTGTCCCTGCAGAGCCTCTCACCTGCCAGCCACCCCCACCAGCTCTCAGCAAACCTGAGTACGCATCTACGTACCGTAGGAGTCGGGGTCTGGTGCCCTCGTTGGGAAATGGCAGGTTTCACTCCAAGGAGGAAGGAACCAGTGTCACTGTCCAGAAGACGCCCTGCCGACAGGCATTCCTGCTTGACTGCTGAGTTCCTTCCGCTTGTTTCTGAGGAGTAATCCAGTTCCCTGAGGCTGAATACTGAGTGGAGAAGCCACGGCTGTCTCCTGTCCCAGACCCTTCCTGGACCTCATCTGGACAGCTTAGGGCAGGGTGTGGCCAAAGAGGGTGAGCCAAGGTCAGTCTCCCTCCTGGGAAGGTCACCTCTGCAGCGAGAGCATTTTCTTGGAATTCCCTGAAGCCGTTTCCACGCTCATGCAGATTTCCGGACTGAAGAGAGAAGTGAAACGTGAAACTGTGGCTGTTGCTCATCCTCATTGTTTTGTGGCTTTTTCCGATTCTATAAAGTAAACGGCAGCTTTCTTCGGTGAGCATTCTCTATGTGAGAGGCAGGGCCGGGAGGAGACCTAGGGTGTTGGGCTCAGAAAGCAGGCAGGTGAAGTCAGAACCTACTTAGCAACTGTGCCCTCTCGTGCTCCTCTGGGCCTCAGTTTCCTCATCTGCAACGTGGAAAAGCTACAACCACCTACCTCATCAGGTTGCGGGGGATAAAATGGGCTGATACATTTTAAACACCTTAGAACATTCTTGGCTAAGGGCAAGAGCTCAGTGAACGTTACTGTTATTCATCCACGTGGCTGAGGGCATCTTATGTAGTTTACACAACTCAGTGAGTTAGGTATTTTTATAATTCCAATATATAGGTGATAAAACTGAATTCAGAAGGAATTCAGTTATTGGCCTGAGGTCACACGGTAGGTAGGCGGGAGATTAGAGATTTGAATCTAAGGCTTTCTAACTCCAGCAGCAAAGCTCTTTATGGAGGTGACACCTTACCTCACAACGATATAATGCAGTAGTGGGATTATTAGGGGTTCAACAGATATATGGAAAAAAGGATACGGTACTTGATAAGAGACCAAATGGCTTCGTTTATTCCTTCCTTCCTTTATTTGTTCACGTATTCACTCCTTCATTCATGTAGCACTTACTGAGCACCTACAATGTACCGGGTAGGCTGGACATTGGGGAGTAACAATTGCAGCAACATGTTCCTAGCCACAGGGAGCTTACAGGTGGTCAGCACTCACACAAACCAGTCGCACACACAGACATCTGTAAGTGGCCAGATTCATGTGGTGAGTGAAGTAAAGGGGCAGGGTGCTGTGACTTCAAGGGCACTGACCTGGTCGAAGGAGTGACTTTGTTGAGGAGTGCCTTTCGAGCTGAAATCTTAAGGAAAAGGAGTGGACAGGAGGCAAAGGATGTCAGAAGAGCAGAAGGGCTCTGGGCTAGCAGCTCTGGGGCCAGGACGGGTGTGGATCACCTGAAGCCTGGGGACAAGGCCAGGGAGGCCTGGCTCTGAGAGCAGGGAGAGTAGGATCGAGCTGAAGCTGGAGAGGAGGCTGGGGAGGCCAGGCATGGCCTTTTAAGCCTTGTTAAGGAGTTTAGCCTGGAAGTGTTTTAAGTAGAGTAAGGATATGGGGATAACATTTGGGTTTTTACAGGATCCTTCCTGCTGAAGTGTGGAGAATGGTTTGAAGGGCACCACAGTAGAAGTTTCAAGATCAGTTCAGGTCTTCAGCTTTCTGCTCATGGAAATCTGTGTTCCCTGAAGTTTCCAGGCTAGAAAAGAAATTCTAGACATTGTAAACACGCAGCACTCACCTTTGGACATCAAGAGTGCTCAAGGGGCTTCAAGCATCTGCCTACCTCCCTGATTCTGGCTCCCACCCTCCCTCCCTCTCCCCTCTCCGGCACCCCCTCTTGCCTCCCCAGCACCCTCAGCGCTCTCCCCTCTCCGGCACTCTTCCTCCCACTCCCTTCCCTCCCTCTCCTCTCCGGCACTCTCCCTCCCTCTCCCCTTCCTCCTTCTTTCCTTTCTGACACCCTCCCTCCCTCTCCCCTCCCTTCCTCTCCCCTCCCTGCGCATCTGCTGTAGGTCCTCCTCTCTCCTGCTCTCTCCACAGCTGCTGCCCTTTTTGTCATAAAAAATTACGTAACACCATCTTCCTGGCCATTCTCCTCTGCAAATATCAAATTAGTTATCTAAATTTGATTCGTTATGGGATCACGTTTCATTTCAGCTTTTCTTGAACTAGAAGCATTTTAATAAATGATATTCAACACACCAGTGTAAAAAATAAAAGTAATTCAATTTCTTAATACAAGTCTTTGATTTTCTCATAAAATGAAGCAGGGGAGTCTCCCTAGGAGAAGCTCCTTGCCTTGATAGCACCCTCCTTGCAGTCTGTGATCTCCCTGTACTCATCCGCTGGGGTTACTTTGTGGCGGATCCTGTCATAGAGAAATGACAAAGGAGTGATCACAAAAAATGCACTTAAAAGTGCTTTTCAGCACTCTCCTCACCCCCTGATATGAGGAGGGGTTATCGAGCCCTTCGAGGGTGGGTGGTCATTGTGCTCCTCTGGGGTATAGGCGGCGGCCCCTCCTCCTCTTGTCTTGGCCTGTGTTGTGGACTGAGGTGGGTTGTTCTCACGTTATTCCTGCTCTGGAAGAATGGGAAGCGGTTGTCCTCTGGCAGAAGATAAACATCTGCTGAGTTCAAACACTCTTTTATTGCACTCTGTGGAGAAACTAACAAGCTCATCAATGCATTTCATTATTGGTCTGAAGATTAATTACATCTCATGGTGACAATTATGGCTTCCATTATCACGGAAACCGACTGCTGAAAGTGATGTTGCTGGTTATCTGTCATCTTCATATGAGGAATTCTGGCAAAGGGGCCCTGACATGACATTCCCAAGCATTCCTCACCTTCACCCCAGCTCCCCAAGCAGCCCTGCCCATTCCCAGCTATATAGTCACGCTAGGACCAGGAAGGACTGCCTTGTTTTTCTCTGTAGTAGATGAATGACGGAGGGGCAGCTGCAGCCACGCTGTTCTTGACGTGCCTAAGCAGGTGTCCTGCCTGCCCTGGCTTGGGTCCACCAAGCTGGTGGATATGCTGTGTACTGTACCCTGAGGCCACCTCCTGGGCAGTAGGTGGCCCAGACCTGTCTGTGGCTGTGCTTGCCACCCTGCTGGGTGTCACGGCTCTTTGCTCCTTGGCCCGTGCCTCTCCCCTTGACCCCTCTCTGGTCTGCAGCACTTGGTGTCTGTCCATGAACTGCCCGGGTTTGAACCTCCCCTGGGGACTTTGGCTTACCTTGGCTGGGCTCGGGCTGTCTTGTGCTAATTCTGGTGGAAGAAACATCTTGTTCTTGCTGGAAATAGAACCTTCTCCTTATCTCCCCCTCCACCCACACACACATGCCCATCGCTCTCCACCAAACAGGGAGTCAGCACCTCTGTAGGCTGTAAGGAGACTGAGCTCAATTCTCCTGTTCCAACAGCCTAGAGCTACGGTAATCCAGGGCATGGGGTCAGACATCAGTGGCTCTCAAACTTGAGTGTGTGAAGGATTCCCTGGAGGGCTAGTGAGCGTATCTGATTCAGTAGGGCTGCAGCAAGGCTGGGAATTTGCATCTTTAACAAGTTCCAAAGTGGTGGCGGTGTTGCTGCTGCTCAGGTGTTTGAGATGTGGGCAGTGGCCGTCAGTGCAGAGAAGAAAGCTGGCCACAGCCTCTGTGACCTACAGTAAGAGCTGGTCACGCCTAGCATGGCCCACCCTGGGCCACAGAGCGCCTTTGAGCAGCTGGCAAAAGACCTGGCTAAGACATCATTCAGAGGTTCATGGTGGAGGTCAGAGCCTCTTGGGAGAGGACACTCTTTTCCTCAGCCTAAAGCCAGAGCCACTTTTACTGCGTAGCTAGAAGGGCCATAGAAAGAACGCAGGCTCTCGGGGAAATGGGCCTTGCTCAGAATCCTGTCTCCATGACCTCTGGTTTACTTAGCCCTTCTGGGCCTGCAGAATAGGACAACAGCATCTGCCCCATAGAGTTGTTGTGGGGCTTTGATGAGACACATCCTAGCAGCATAGCTGGGGTTCAGAAGGAGCCCATGAAGAATGGCTGCGATGATGAATAGCTGCCTAGGAGCGTTTCTCTCCAACTCCACCCTCTGGCAATGAGTGCAAAGGCAGAAGCCTTGCACATGGGGTCTCCTCATTACTCCTCTGTGCCCTACAGAGCTTCCATTAGGACCTCCCGCCCTGCCCCTCAACAGGCACTGGGGAGAAACAGGGATCAGTGACAGGAACACCCCCCACAGCGCTGGCAGAACAAGGGAAAGGAAGCCAGGAGAGGGAGGCACAGCCAACCATGTGCCTACTGTGTGCTGGCATTGTGCTGCTTGAGAAGGAATTCTGTTTCCATTTCACAGTTGAGGAAACAGAGGTTGAGAGACTGGCTCCAGGGAGAAGCAAAGCTCTTGGATTAGTTCCAAGCCTCTCATTTATTTTATTTATTATTTATTTATTTTTGAGAGAGAGAGTCTTGCTCTGTCGCCCAGGCTGGAGTGCAGTGGCGTGATCATGGCTCAAGCGATCCTCCCACTTCAGCTCCCGAGTAGCTGGGACCACAGGTGTGCGTGCCACCACACGCGGCTAATTTTTTGTATTTTCTGTAGAGATGAAGTCTCGCCATGTTGCCCACAAGTCCCTCATTTTAGAGGTGAGAAAATCAGAGAAGTTGCATGACTTTCCCAAAGACACACAGCCGTTTTAGCGATAGCATTAGGGCAAGTCTCAGCTTCTAAAAACTGGATTTGTCTCACTATTTCATGGTCTCCTCTTCACTCCTTCCCTTGAATAGTTAACCCAGGAGAAAAGGTGTGGTGTGACAGCATTGGAGCCCTGAAGACATTTTTGTTTTTGTTTTGCTTTTAACAAATTGAAGTTGGTGTTGGTTTTCCCCTTTAGGAAGACTGGGAGAATCTCTTTTGACGACAGGCTTTTGAGGAATATCCCCATTACACCCACAGTCGTGCTACATCTGAGGAAGTATTACTGACCAGGGACCCTTGCCCAAGGCAGCCGTCACTGCAAGTATACTCGAATCCCCCAAATTTTGTGAAATATCCTGCCCCAGAGAGGTCACTTTTATAGATCAAATAATGCATGATACACAGCAACTCCAGAACTCAGTGGGGGATTTTCAGGTCATTAATGGCTAGGGAAGAGATCTCAGTTCTGCAAAATGAGAATTGGCCCCTACAGGGCAGTCTTAGCCTCCTGATTCATATAAAGAGGGATCTTGATTTCCTATATCTTGTCTCACTGAATCACCCTCCCTTCCTCCACTCCCTCTTTTTCTTTGCAGCCTAAATAGAGTGCATAGGAGAAGGCTGTTGAATAAATAATGCATCAAAATAAGGTAACTGAAGTGTGAACCCATGCAAATATTTTAGTATTTTATTTTTAAAACATCTAGTAGTAAGATGTCTTCACTAATTGAAAACCCATCACAATCTAATCGCATGTTTCTTTCTGTCTGAAAGTCACTGCACAAATACGGATGAAGCATCTTCCAGGTGACGGGCGTAGTTCTGGGCGCTCATACATCAGTGAATAAACACGGACTCCTGTCGGCCTCATTCGAGCAGTGGGGAGTGAGATGATCAACAACACACTTAATAAGTAAGGAAGTTTTTCAGGTCAGACATGCTAAAGAAAAAGGAAAAAGTAGAACAGAGAAGGGGAATTGGAAAAGCTGTGGTATGAGTGTTGTGTGTGAGAGTGTGTATATGTGTGTAAGTGTGTGTGTATGAGTGTGTATGTGTATTGGGATTATGTTGGATGAGCATGAGGGTGTGTTTCCTGGGTGTGTGTGTGTCTGTGTGTGTTTTTGGGTGCATGTGTGGGTGTGTGGGTGAGAGTTCGGGGGGCACTTTTACATGAGGTGCTTAGAACAGGCCTCACTAGGAGGAGAGCTCTGAGCCAGGGTGTGAAGCAGGTGACGAGGTGCGCTGTGTGGAATCTGAAATGAGAAGGGGAAAGGTTTTCCTGTCTAGGGAATTTTGGTCCTGATCTGCAAGCAATAACTCTCTGGAAATGGTGTCAGAATGAAGCCTCTTGCTCATGGAAACATCTGGATATTCTCCTATTTCCTTGGTAGGCTTTGCTTAAACACATCAGATGCTCATATTGAATGGGATTTAGAAGCATGTCTTTTTAGAGGCAACCTGAGCCCTGCTCCGGGACTGATTCTGGATGCTGTCTGGGATGACTTGGATGATACTGATCTCCATGAGGGCAGAGTGGGCTCTGCACTTGCTGGATTTGCTCTAGTCTGGCTGGAGCAGACTCACTGGTAACCAACCTCTTAGAGTCAGCAAGGCCAGATGGCGACTGGGGACAAGGGCAGCGAACAGAAATGCTCTGTCTCCAGCATGGCATGAGACAAATGTGAAGGAGGGATTACCTGAGGGAGATATGAAACAAAAAGCCAACACCTGATGGGCAGTGTCCCTCCCACCTCACTCCCTTGGAGTCTTAGATGAATCTTAACCTGTCCTGAAGAAGGATGACACAGCAGCCAGAGTTTGATCTGTGGAAGGAATCACTTTGTGCATTTGATGTTGAAATACATGCAGATCCCCCAGGCCCTGGCTCCTGCTGGGGTCTTCCACGCCAGCTCAGGAGGGCCTCTACCTACAGGGATTAGCCCCCGGGAAGGACTGCTCTCCCTGGCACCATGAGGATGGGGATCTTGCCTCAGGTGGAGTAATTCAGAGCTTGGCCACCAAGGTTTTGTCGTGAGCCCTTTGTGCTGGGCAGCACAGCTGATTCCTTGTCTTGGATTATTCA